TATATATATATATATATATATATATATATATATATATATATATATATATATATATATATATATAACCAATCTCAGTCTAAATCTACTCTTTTATCTATCATTTAAAACGGTAACACTTTACAATAAGGTTGATTAGTTAACATAAGTTTACTACTTTAGTTAACATGAACTAAGTATGAAGAATAGTTCTACAGCATTTATTAATCTCAGTTCAAGTTAATTTCAACATTTACAAATGCATTATTAAAATCAAAAGGTATGCTTGTTAACATTAGTTAATGCACAGTGAATTAATGTACTAACAACTAACTAACTTTAAAACGAATTGTTTCGCTTGAAAAGTGTGCTTGCACTTCTTTGTATAAATGTCGCTTGCCTTCATTTTGTTATCTAGCGAACAACATTCATACGTTTTAAGTTTGGCTTAAGCGTCAAAACTTTTTAGGCTAGTCTAAACACCTCTTGTTGAGTGCGCAGTTCTTCAGAACGTTACGGTACCCAAATCGGCAACACTTCTCTTCCCCCATAGGAAGTCTCAGGCAATTAGTTCAGTCAGTAGAAGCGCTCGTAGCCTCGTACTAGTCTACTCAGTTTCTCTGAGCTCTTCTAATGACTAAATCCGAAGAGCGATTAAACCCCTGAACTATTCTGTGGGAGGCCCGGGTCTATTTTGGATTTTCCCTTTCTAAAAAAAATGGGATTTGAGTTGGATCGTTTCAAGGGGGCTGTGGACCCAGACTTCAAATGCAACTTGTGTAATAAAGTTTTGGAGGATCCGCTCACTACCCCGTGCGGTCATGTCTTCTGCGCCGGCTGTGTGCTGCCGTGGGTCGTCCAGCAGAGCAGCTGCCCGGTCAGATGCCAAAGGATCTCCACCAAAGAGCTCAACCACGTCCTCCCTCTGAAAAACTTAATATTAAAGTTAGACATTAAATGTGACAATCACGCGCGGGGCTGCGAGAAGATCGTCAAACTCCAGCATCTGGCGGAGCACGCGGAGATGTGCGATTATTCCCCTGCCAAATGTAGGAATAAGGGCTGCAGCGAAGTGCTGAACCTTAAAGATATGGATGCTCACATGCGTGAATCGTGTGATTACAGGGCGGTCGGGATATGCGAGAGTGGATGCGGATTGATGCTCACTCATAAGGAGCAGAAGTTGGACAACCACTGCTGTTTGAAAGCCCTCAAAGCGCACAACGGCGCGCTGCAAGGGAAAGTGGTCAGCTTGGATAAGGAGCTGAAGAAACAAGCTCTCAAATCGACTAAAAGAGAGAAATCACTTTTGGCTCAACTGTCGGCGGTTCATAACGAGCTTCAGATGACAGCGCTGAAGTATCAGAAGAAATTTACAGAATACAGCGCCAGGATTGACTCGCTGTCCAAGAGTCTTTCTCCACCGTGTAAGGTAAGAGAACAGTATAGACAACAGCTTTTGAACTCTTCAAAAATGTACCATGGTAACCATTTAAATAAAACTGCAATACATTTGTGGTAAAGAGTAGTATTGGCCACCAGTGTTGGGGAAAGTTACTTTTAAAAGTAATGCATTACAATATTGCATTACTCCATAAAAAAAGTAACTAATTACGTTACTTAGTTACTTTTTTATGGAAAGTAATGCGTTACGTTACTTTTGCGTTACTTTTAAAATCTGGACAGGGCTTGCTTGTTTGTTTTTAAAATAAAAAGTTATATTTTTGGCAAATATAAAAGCCTTTTCACACCAAAAGTGAAATGAATGCGCCTCAGGCTGAAGGGAAAGTACATTTACGTCCGTACAGTAGAATGCAGAAGAAGACATTTCAACACACTTCAGCAATAAAAAAAGACTCTTATTATTTTTGCTTATTAGTACGGTTGAACTGGATCATCGAAGGTCAGAAGCAAAGACTTTGGTTAATAGAATGGGATGAAATACATAAAGGATATTTGTGTTGTTTAACATTTAATTACTGCAGGTTTGCATTCTATTCTGAGTTGCATTATTTTAATTAATTTTGAGGAATACTGAATCTGTTTTTTTTTTGTGAGTGAGTGAGATGAATTAATTCATATTCATATTTATTTTATAACTACAGTAACATCTTCTGATTTCTCTCAACATGGGGACAGGAGAGCTGTCAATCAATAAATTTGGGGGGGGGGAAGTAACTTGCGTTACTTATTTGAAAAAGTAACTCCGATATTCTCTTATAAATTAAAAAGTAATGCGTTACTTTACTAGTTACTTGAAAAAAGTAATCTGATTACGTAACTCGCGTTACTTGTAATTCGTTACCCCCAACACTGTTGGCCACCACTGTCATCAAATAAACAAATAATTAACAGTCAAACTGCCTGAAACCATTCTAAAACTAACGTTAGGCTACTTGAATGACGTCTCGTAACTTGTAGCAGTTTTACAGCACGAATTATGGTATTTCAGAGGAAATTGTAGTTATCGTGGTACATTTTGTAAGGCACGGTGCCCGTTATCAGATCAACGATCAGAACAAAGCCGTTTTTATTTAGCTGTTTTTCTTTTTTTGCTCTAATTTTCCTACAGAAAAAAAAAAGATTTAATGTGCTTTTGTTTTGTTCTTTCTGCCTATTTATTTAGACTTTTATAGTCAGAGTTGTTTTTAAACTCTGTATCAAATTTCATTTTAAGCGATATCAATCGAGTTACTGAAATCGGTTGTGATTGGACGATAGGCAACAGGCTGCAGGTAATCACAGCCCTGTTGACATAACTTGTCGATTGCAAGCGTGATATTGCATTTATAGTTCTAGAAACAGACTTGGACAAGTAATTAATATCCAGTGACTTACATTTCAGAAAAAATTTGGCTAGTAGCCAAACCAAGCTTCGCGTGTAGTTCAAGCTAAACCCTGGCCTGGAATAGCATATATGAGTGGAGCGGTCAAAAGTGTTCCAATCCGTCGACTACAGCTACACTCCGACTTTTCCATTTCACTACGAAGAAACCCCGCTTCGAGCGATTATGGAGGCAGACGAAAAATCGTAACTCACTGTAGGCAAAACTTAGTATTTTATAATTATTTATTTTTATATTAAGACTCTAAGGGGAATTTCATGTTCTTATTATTATATACTTGTTTGTTCATTGATATTAATGCCAGCAGTCTTTGTTGTGACACATAAACAAGTTTTTTGTTTGCTGTTGTCAGGATTTCCTCCAGCCCTGAAATATGCCTTGCTTAGCTGGCTTGCAATGTAGACTTCATTGGTTTTAACAATCTTGATGAAATTTGGTTAGTAAAGCTGCTTGAGGCTTTGTCGCTGAGGGAAGACTCAAGGAAATTTACATTTGGACATACTTAAACAATGAGGTAATAAAATGTAACAAAAATACAGTATTTTATTCATACTGTAGTTAGTACATCAGAACTTGGGCGGTGCCATTGTACAAGTAATACTGTGGTTCTTTGTACTCTACGTGCTAAAAAATGTTCTTTGGCACATGCCCAGATAAAGAAAAAAACTATGACACTTTTTCTTAAGTGCTGTATGTCCTTGCCATGCTTTAAATCAAGTGCTATGACAACTTCTGGCATTTGCGATGCCCTTCAGGTTAGCTGTAATATATTCTCACCTCAGGACACCATCAGAGCATGGAAAAATGTCAGTGAGTTACACTTGTGACAGATAACCTCCCTTGACCACTCTATGAAGGAGCACGAGATCCTAAGGCAGCCTCCCAGTGAGTGAACATGTTTATGGGCTCTGAATGATGTCTTAGTGCCAGCAAGTGCCTTCCTGCTGGGGAATGTAGTCTCTCTTGCTGTTCCCATCACATGGTTCATCAGTCAAGTGAGTGAAGCAACGCAGAGCTGGGAAAAGGAGGGCGATGATGGGGAGCTGACATTTGCAGGATTGGGCCTGTCTGCTGAACGCTGGGCTGTTGATCCAGCTGCTCTAGAAGGGGGGAAAAATGATATCACAAGAGTTTTCGAATCACCACTAGAGCATTTCAGCATGAATTATGCATTATATATGCATATGTTTGTTTTCACAATTCAAGAGAATTTATTCATTAGATGAGTCATCCTTTGACATCATTCCACATTTGTTTTATTTACCAGACTGCCTTGTTTTTGTGAAGTAATCAAACCGAATCATATTAGCAGAAAACCGCTGACAAAACCAAACAACAGTGGTGTGCATTTATTTTAAGTGGAGTCGCTGGCTTCTACAGACATTGTTTCCCATGGGATTCTGGGACTTGTTCCCATGACCTGGTCCAGTGGGGTGCATTTCTCACTAGGAGGCATACATTGCGTACACTCAGCAAAGATAGTAAAGAGGACATTGTACAGTACATGCATGCCATTGATGTCTGTATTATATTTAGACACTATTCTGTGGCACACAGAAATGACAGCTGCTTTAGTCGCTGATCTTATGCAGTGCCACCCTAAGTGTGGAATAAAATGCTGACACCACTCGTTTCTCCACTTTCCGTCGTTCATCTGTTGAGAGAGCCGTTTGCTGCAAATGTATTAATATACTTGACCAAATGAGCAGGGAACAAGGCATTAACCCTTAAAGCTGCCGGGCACTTGACATCTCCTTTTCCAAGATGCTTTAACCTTCGAAGAATTATGTAGATTGAAGAACATGATGTTTAATGACTCTAACAGGTGTACCTCTTTACTTGTTTGGTCACAGCCAAATGTAAGCCTTGATACCTGCAGATGATTTAAGAGCTTGTGCTATAAAAACACACCCTGAAGGGTTAGATTTGAAATATTAAGTTTGTAAGCTCAGATGTTTCTACTTCCCAAGTGCTTAGTAATTTCATTGGTGTTCTTCACTTTTCAAAGGTTTTGAATAGAAGTATGTGTGAAGTGATGGGTCATTAATATGGTTTCCTCTTTTAACAGGGTGGAGAGACCAAAAGTGTCACGGCTATACTCCATCGTGTGTCTGGATCTTTAGGCTTCAATATCGTTGGAGGAAGGCCATGTGCAGTAAGTTTAGAAAGATTTGCACCCTTGTCTTATCTGTCATTAGCTCGTTCTATTTCCTGTTTTAGCCCCAGGTTGTCCAAGGCAGCACAGGTTATTTATCTACTCCAGGGTTTCCCAAACTGGGGTTTGTGAGTTAATGAAAAGCTAATGATTAATTAAATCATAAAAATATAAAATTAAAATAAATAAATAAGTTACAAACAATTAAAATAAACACTAAAGCAAGATTAAATATTTAATTTGTTTACCAGCAATATCATGTGACATTAACTGACAACAAGGAACCACGAACATGCAGATGTGTTAAATTATTAAAATAAATATTTAGCGCATAGGTGTTCAGCTAACGTAAAAAATTGGGAATCTCAGATCATGCGTATTTTATATATATAAACATATTTTAATTCCTTAGGTTACCTCATGCCGTACCTACATAATTAGATCTTGGTCTAGTCTTAACCAAAACTCAATTATTATGATGATAAACAACAAAATATTCTTTATGAGTTATTTAATATCTGTCAGGTTATTTCACATTCTCAGTGTATCACTGTATAACTAACTTTAAGTGGAAATGGCAACTGGGAAAATACAGACATAAATAATATCTAACATATCAGGGATACACCGATACCACTTTTTTCAGTACTCGCCCGATACCGATACTTTTATTTTTGGTACTTGCCGATACCGAGTACCGATACCAATATTTTTATTGCATTTGTAAATTTTTTAAATATTAGGTACAGAAACCAAAAGAGTATGTATAATGTTAGTTGGTTAACTTCATTTATCAAATAGATGCAGTCAAACCAAAATTTATTCAGACACCTTCAACATTTCTCACATTATCAGTTTATTCGCTATAGTTTAGAAAATGGTAATAAAATATAACAAGAACTCAGAGTTAAACTGAGTCAGAACAAATTCAGCTTGATAATGTTAGATAACTTTGATAGAAAGGTATGTAATGGATTACAATCAACCAAAAATTAGACAGCTGTTACTATGACAGTATTTACACAACTATCAATACTTAGTCGGGCAGCCCTTAGCGTTAATGACAGCCTGTAGTCTCCTGGGCATGCTGTCATCATGCCATATAATTTGTCACAGTTTACTTAATTTTGCTATCCTCACTTACATAAATGAACTATAGTGTCCTGCACCCACTAGTAAAAACATATAAAAAATGATATCTGGTCTCTGAATAATTTTTGGTTTGACTGTATATCCTTCTGTTATTTTCACACTTAATTATGCCCATTAAAATGTATTTTACAAGTTTTTATTACTTTCACTGTTCATTCTTTGCTCTATGGTACATCATCTTTAATTTAATTAATTAGAGCTGCTCCATTGCAGTGGCTTAGTACTGTAATCACCCGATTTGCTGTAATAATGCAGGGAACCACTCGTTATAAATCTCCTAACTGTGATATTTTCAGAAATAGAAGTCGCGTTTTTTTTCCCATCTGAAACATGCTGCGATTTATATTCCAAAACCACTCATATAATGCAGAAACACTCAAGCAAGCAGGTATTTGTACTGATGCAGAATGAGAGGACAGTAGTACAGACTAGCGCATTTCACACATGCTGTTAGTTTCACTTTCGACAGAAAATCGTGTATTGCCTAAGGTTGAAAATAAATGACATTTATAGTGAATGCCCCTGTAAATGGTCTTATTTTTACGATTTAGTTTGAATCCAAATGATGCGTGTGCTAAGTGAGTGAACATCAAAGATCACCCAACAGAATTTCGCGCGCGCTCTCTCGCTCTCTCTGAATATTTAACATTATATTCATTGCATACATATACTTCGTAGACATCCTTAATCTCTAATAACTCCATTCTGCTGTCTGTTGTTCTGTTGTCGGTGTTTCTTTGTCTGAATATGGCGCTTATCACATGCTGTGTGGTATCGGCGTTTGGTATCGGGGCATTTTAACGAGTACAAGTACAAGAGCTCAGTATCGGGGCCCGATACCGGGTGCATCCCTATAACATATAAAGTGCCACTTTGGTACGTCGGTCCACCCTGAAGTGGTGGTTGCGGTATCCATATCAGTGTGAATGAGCACCAAACCCTTTAAGAAGTGTTTGTTTGTGGTTCGTCTGAACTAGAAGCACTTTGGTCTGAACTGGACTTTTGCTGCAAAACCTTAAAAAGGGGAAAAGTACTAGAGCCAAGTTTCCAGGGCTTCTTATAAGACCCAGATGTAGCCTCGTCACAATGACGAAGCTTTATTTATTTATAAAAAAATTGCCACTGTTATAGCATAAAGCACAAATTGCTATGGCTGAGTTTATGCTAAAGTAAGTGGAAGAGGTCAGTCACTATTGATTGACACAAATGGCTGCGTCTCTTAGCAACTGCACAACTACTTCAACGTGGCCATGACCCCTCCCTAGCAAATGTTTGACATGCCATCCATCCTCTCTGCTTGTAATATCTTAGATCTGTTCCTGAAACTTTTAAATGTCATAGGTGGCAATAATTGTTGGAAGCAATTTTTTATTTAGTTTTTCTCTCTGGAGTACTTGATTCTGATTAGTCAATCACTGAATTGAGTGGGTAAATATTTTTGTATGTTTTACATTTAATTTGGTATATTTTGTATTTAAATATTACATATTTTTGGAGTATCACATCTTCAGGACGTCAGGTCACTTTTAGAGTCCATGTAATTTAATTTTATTCTACAACATAGCTAAATTTGTTGGGAGAGGATCCTCTGGTAAATAAGGATGTTGTTGTTGTTGTTATGATGGGGAAGAGGGAAGGGCTTACAGTAATTAACTGCAGAGTTCACAGTTTGACTTCCTGCAGTTTCTCAAGTATTCCATTAAAAATTACAGCACAGTGTCACACAACATGGCAGTTAATGTGGTTTGATGTGGTTAAGGGGTGGGTTCAGCAATATTTTAGCAGAGCCTTTGCTATAACCTTCGTGTCTTAAACTCTACTGTTCGTTTAGATGTACTGTAAGCCCTTGAGACAATAGATAGATTGAGCCACCTAAGGCGACAGTAATGCAGTCGGCACCTGGTGACTTAAGACCGTTAAACTGGCCTTGCTGGGGGGACGTATGAGTCCCAGATTGGTTAATGCATTGGGCGAAAATGTGGTAGTATGACTTATTTGGAGGAAGGGGCCAGAGTGAGGGGAAAAGCTTTGGATTGTGCTTCTCATGCCAACTGCTGCTTTGCCGTGATATCCGAGAGTGTTCCTTGTGGTTTTTGTGGATGTCACCTACATCTCTGCTTTTTCTTGTTTTTTTTTGTGTTTTTTTTTTAAAGGACATCAACTTAACAATACGTCGATATTTGAGAAGGGTTATCGGTGACTGGTTTAGTATTTTCATTGTAGTGTGCACTGTGCAGTAAGCTTTTTCAACAAGATATTTTGCTCTAGGATGGCACTAGACCTAGAAAGTCACTTTTTGTCTCTGTCTTTTGAATAATTAAGGTGAGTCAGCATGCGTGCCAGAGGATGTAAACACATAAGGAACATGAAGCACAAAGCCCTAGGTCAGTCTATTGAGTAGACCTTTAAAATTTATAGTCAGAAACTCTTTCCCACAATGCAAAGCTGTTCCCACCCTGTGCAGTCAGTTTGGATCATGTTTACATGGGAATAACATTTTCTACTTCCTTCAGGAGATTTTTAAAAAGTAGGTAGGTTTTAAAACTACCTCAATAATGTTTCTGCTATTTGAAAAGGATGTAATAATGATTTTCTTGCCTTCATGGACTCCTGAGGTAATGTGGTATCTGAGATCAAAATATGGGTTCTAGCATTACGCCAGCACCTCAGATTGTATCGCATATTTAATTATGTTGACTTGAGAAATGACTTTCTGTAGAAATACAATCACAGGGGAAGAATTAATGCAAAATTGCTTACAGCAGTTTTGTTTCTATTGAAATTGCACTTGTATGTTTGCTAAACCAGCACCCTGTAGTCCCATCCTTTATAGCCCATGAGATTTAGACTCAGCTGGACTTTGCTCTTTAAAATATCTTCCTCCAGGCCCCAGCACTCCTCTGTCTCTCTTGCTACATCAGCACTTTTTCATCCATCATACAGATTATCCATTTATTTCCTTTTTCCCACAGCTCTTTTGGAAACACATATAATCCTTGGCAATTGTGCATTGATGCTATAAATGTTACTATCATTTTGAGGTTTAGCACTTTGCTGCATATTGTTGATGTAAAAATATTATATCCATCGAGGTTGTTTTTTTTAACGTCATCAGTTTTCCTTTTTGTTATTTTTCCTAAAAGGTTTTAATTAGGCATGCCCAATATATTAGTACCATCTTAGCGGGCAATATTATTCATCAAGTAATGTATGTATATACTGTATATAATCCATCAGTGTCTGTTGAATAATTAATTGTGAATGCTAATTTCTCCTAATTCTAACAGTTTTTTTTGTTGTAACGTGTCATATTTTAGTAATGCTATTAAATTTAATCTCTAGAAAATTTACATCAGTTTCACTCTATGCCATAATGTTGTGATACCTCAATTCACTTGTAACATGTAAAAAAAAATTTTTTTGTAATTCTTTTTTTTTTTTATTTAGACAAAATAGTATGTAAGGAATAATTGATGATGGGCCGTTGAATTATTAGGTTGTTACACCTCGGGTGTGCATTATTTTCTAGTAATTCAATGGACCGGAGTCAATTATTCCGCTTATACTGTTGTTACCACACCTCAAATATTATTCAGATGTTATACTTAAAGACATTTGTCAGGTTTTTGTCCTTAAAATGCTCTTGAGAGTAGGATTAATTTCTTACGTGTCTCATCCAACACCTCCGTTGCTAATTCCAAAATGTAATTTTAGACCTAGCAGCGGCGGCTTGAGCCAGACTAATGCAGATAATAATTAAGTTATTGGAAAGTGAGAGAGAGAGAGAGAGTGTGAATTACCGGAGTCTGTGCGTCTCTCAACAGTGTTCGGCAGCAGCATCCCTACTAATAGCAAAACTGCGAGTTCATCATCTTCAAGAACAGTGCCGTTATTAGTGAGAAATAATAGTGGCTTTTAAAGGTGGGTTAAGTGATTTCTGGTAGCCAATGTTGATATTTCAAATCACCAAAACAAACGCCTCTATTTTGATAGCTCCGCCCCACACATACGTATGCAACCCAGGCAAAGATTATGGCGGAATCTGCTGTATTATTATCTGCTGTATTAAACATATTATCTTACTTTTCGGACACACTTTGGGAGCTGATGCTTGAAACAGACAGTGGAGGAGGTGGAAATCGTCGCTCAGCTTGGCTTGGCTAATGTCCGTCCTGTGCACTGAGCGCTCTCTCCTCCACATCATAAGTAGACACGCCCCTTACTGCTGATTGGCTATAAGTTTGTTTTGGTAGTCGTCCCGACTCAGTTTTCTAAAGCGTTTTTGAAAAAATACATACCCCACCTTTAAGTTGCTAAACTATTTTACTGATAAAATCGTCAGAGCAGCGCTAACAACACGTTTCTGTGTGAATGTGTGTCTGTACTATGTGTGAGCGTTTGTAAGGGAGAGAGAGTGGGAGAAAGAGAGTATGTGCTTTCCGTACATAATAAAACGTAATTTTGTTGCAAAAACATGGAAATAATTTGCCGTTTTTATCCTATTGTTTACTATATTTATTTGCTTGGTCAGTGTCGTTGTGGGTTTTGGTTGTTATGCTGTTTTAGCTGTAAGGACCTTTGAAATAAATTAAATCAAGACCTGCCTGGAACGTTCTAAGGTGCGCAATTATTTTCAGGGAAATGCACTGTATTTTTGTCATGCATTTCCCTGAAAATAATTGCGCACCTTAGAATGTTTGTCAGCCAATCAGATTCAAGCAGTCAAAAGTACTGTAGTATTAAGAATTTTAATAATGGCCTGTTATCACATATTGAGCATTACATAAAAATAAGTTTCATCTTATTATCGGGACCCATTTTCAAACTTTGGCTAGTAAACAATGTCTTAGAACACGTTAACAAATTGCATAGTAGCATTTAAAACTACTTTAATAATGTTTCTGCTGTTTGAAAGGGGTGTTATAATGCTATCTTGTTATCAAAGATGTGCCAGAACCTCTATGAGTCCATTTTATGCTATTTACCATTCAAGCGAGAGACTCTTGGGTGACTAGCATTCACTGATCAGTACAATGCACTCTGGAGTGGCGACAGCATCTCTGCTGAGAGCATCCAGGCGGAGCATGTGAATTTGTGTCATAGGGTAAGCAGGGCCATCACGGTATTCAGCGGGCTTTGTGCACATGTTCCTGACAGCAGCAGTGATGGGTAACTCACTGAGCGAACATGAGAAATTCCAGTCAGGAACACACTGGACAGATCATCTGGCCCCTATGAACGAGCTCAAATAAATTTTACTGCCTGACAAGAAATACCCTTATTCTTCATCTTCTTTTGGCCTCAGCGATGTTATGTGCACATACATGACATACCCATAAAGATCTAGACTCTCCCACGGCCGTCCGATGGAGGAGTATCATGGAAGATGTCCCTGTTAATCACAAGAGAGGCAGGCTCAGATAATTCAGCGGATGGTGTTATTTTTGACTGAGTCCAACAGAGCTAATCAGAGGTGGCAGCTAGTTCACTGTGGGCAGTATCACATGTTATTTGGCATCTGATGGCAAGAAGAAAGCTTTTGTCAAGGACTTTATTGGATTTTTGCCTCTGTAATTTTTTTCTAGATGGAAGTGAGCAGGGAGAAGGAGTAGCGGCACGTAAGACTGTTAGTCCCAGCGGAGAGCTGCTTTCCAGTTGACTGGAATGGCTGAGCTTATTACAGGACACTAAATCCATTGGAAGTCTTAAAAGGGATATAATAGGATTCTGGTCTCGGCTTCTGCTATAGCAGAGCATGCGTGGATGAAATGGACAGTCCTATGGTGCATGTATAAGTGTGTGTGTGTGTGTGTGTGTGTGTGTGTGTGTATGTTTTAGAGAGAGAGGTAAAGCTACTGGGTATTCCTGGACAAGCAGAGCATGTCCTGTCTTTAATAATATAATAATTAATACCTTGCTTTAGTAAAAATAAGAAGAACAATGAAGAGAATAACATTTTTATTATTAGTAGTAGTTGTACTGTGACCAGTTCTACAGGTTGTTAACTGACCATGGGAAACTTTGTCATGGCCGATGCTGTTCATCTCAAATTAGCCCCAAAATAGGCAGATTAATCAGTTGGTTGGATAGCATCCTGGCCAAATTCGCCCATTGGCCTCTGACCATCATGGCCTCCTAACCATCCCAATATCTGCTGATTGGCTTCATCACTCTGTCTCCTCTCCACCAATGAGCTGGTGTGTGGTGGGTGTTCTGGCGCAATATGGCTGCCGTCGCATTATCCAGGTGGATGCTGCACACTGGTGGTGGTTGAGGAGATTCCCCCCTTCTATGTAAAGCGTTTTGAGTGCCCAGAAAAGCGCTATATAAATGTGAGGAATTATTATTATTATCAGTCAATCTGTTTATCACTATTCCTTTCATCCCAATATAGAACTTATTGTTACTGCCTGTAAAGGAGTTGCTAAATATGGCTTAGCCTACTGTAAATGTGTTGTGAACTGTGTTCGGTAGGTTTTTACCCTATTTTAAGAAGTCGTGGGTATAATGAATAGCTTCTTAAAGGTCTAGCGAGGGCGAATATGTAGGTATAATTAAGGCTAATTGTCTTTCCAATCAATCACCAGGCTTGTGTATATCAGTAATGATAGTCTCAGGTTGCCTAGCCAGCTGTTTTCACAGTCAGACCCCGTTAACCCCCGCCCACCCCCATAGCCTGTCTAATTAACTACCCTCAATTAAACGCTAATAGGCTGATTAACAGACCCTTGGTCTTGAAGTAATAGGCAGTTGTTTCCTTCTTGTTGCCCTCAGTAATGCAGGCCAGACCCCGGTCCTGTTAATTACAACCCTCTTTGAATGCCCTCAGCAGGACCCAAGAAATGTAGCCTGTCCAAGTCAGGAAAGTGTGGTAGAAGTTGAAAAAGAACATGTCTACATTATGGATTGTTTCAGCCATCTGTAATGCAAAAGAAGAAGAGAAGGCTACCACTTAACGCTCTTTGCGGTAAGGCCACTTGTTGACTTTCGCTTTGCTTTCAACTCGTGGCTCTGTATATCACAGTAAATAAATAGGAATGGACAAATCATTATTTAATTTTGTCCATATAAGGAAACTCGTAATATTTGGGGACGGGTCGAGATGTCTTATCGTCTGTGATTTTCACCAAATATGGTATCAAGGAGTCAGATCATTTATGAATCCATCTACTTTTATGAGAACACATGAACACAGTCTTCCTGTTTTAAGACTTGGAAGTGAAGGTAATTTTCTGCTCACTCTTTTTATGGACGTGCAGCCACAGTGATCTTGTAAATGTACTTATTGAATGTCTGTTCTGTAATTTAAGCTTGGTTTTCACCATATTTCAGCAGCTAGCTCATGAGTAAGCACATCACAGCCCAAGCTGCATTTCCTGTCATAACTCAAAGTATAAGACTATGCTTCTCTGTTCCTCCTCCCTATAGATATATAGTTTTACTGTACTCAACATGACTATTGCAGTGCCAAAAGCATATGCAGACTTGAATACTTGGCCAGTGCAATGCATGTGGCCCAGCTGTACACACATAGTGTGCATTGTTGTTGCGTTACTGCAATCGTAACAGCCACTAGTCGGGGGCTATTAAGCCATAAACAGTCCAACACTCCAGCATGATCCTACGCAGACGTACTATTCTGGTAGCTAGCTATACACATGTTGATGGTTAAACTAACTTTCCCAGGAAGATTCTTCTCACACTGTAGTTTCAGCCAAGCTGCATTTCCTGTCATAACTCAAAGTATAAGACTATGCTTCTCTGTTCCTCCTCCCTATAGATATATAGTTTTACTGTACTCAACATGACTATTGCAGTGCCAAAAGCATATGCAGACTTGAATACTTGGCCAGTGCAATGCATGTGGCCCAGCTGTACACACATAGTGTGCATTGTTGTTGCGTTACTGCAATCGTAACAGCCACTAGTCGGGGGCTATAGATTTGATTTCTAATGTCCTAGCCATTAAACCAGGTGTGTTACTATTCTGGTAGCTAGCTATACACATGTTGATGGTTAAACTAACTTTCCCAGGAAGATTCTTCTCACACTGTAGTAGTGTGTCAGTGACAATGTCAGTAGTTGACGGGTAAACTGACCATAGAAGACAAATGTGGCAATGCTGAAAATGTAACAGGTTACCTACTTGCTTTATGTTGCACATTGCATTTTTACATGTTTTGTTAAACCTAACTGCATAGTATGAACACACTTAACACATAGTAAAACACATGTAATTGCATAGTATGTTTTGGACCCAAGAAGACTCTACTGAAGTAGTGGTGTGTCTCACATCAGGTTTATGCTAAAATTTCACTGCAGATTGAATTCTCGTTGTCTTTAACTCAAAACCATCCTAACATACTACTACAAGACTTCTTGTCATTTTGGGGTGTTCCTGGCCTAGTGTTTCAGCTCAAGGACAAGTGAAGTCAATAATAGTCCAGTTGAGTCATCTCTTTGGCTACAATTGAAACATAGTTGGTCTGAGTTCGATGGTCTATGTCTTTGTGTTGGCAGGCCTCAATAATCAAACTCCTCTTAAATCCAGACAACATGAGTTGGTGTAGAATTCCTTCGTTCCTAGCCTGACAAACTTTCTTTTCAAGAGTCGTTTAAGAAAGCAGTCTTTCACACGCCAAACAAAGTGGAACCAGCAACCGCTGTGCACCCTTCTCATGTAAATGAGTGAAAACACTATTCCCAAGTCATGTTATTGTCCTTGTGGACCTACCGTGTACGTCCCTGTTTCACTGAATGAGATGTACTCCTTTCACTCGTACCTTCTCCATTTGATTGTAGACTTCCTGCATCTTTCAGTTTAGCAACAGAAAAACTTGTTTGACTTAATGCAACAAAGTGGGTACTGGGTAGTCCAATATATTGTATCAGTAGGTACTTTCATGTGCTTTATAAATACCCTATGTTCTCTATACTCAGTAGATGTTTTGCTTGAATTCACCCACTGTAGAGTTTCCATGGACTACCAGTTGAGCTTCTAATGTCAAGAGCAACTATCAAAGTCAAGATGGCAAAAGTATAATTTTTACTCTCAGATTTTGACCAGGGTTCGGTGAGAAACTAAGCAAGTAATCAGATGCTTGGGCAACTGCATGGTCCTGTTGTGTGCTCTTGATGTGCTTTCTTGTGTTACTTTGATTGACCTTCAAATGCAGGGATGTCCAGTCCTGATCCTGGATGGCTACCGTCCTGCTGAGGACCGGCTGCTGGACTCCATAGAAACTTTCAGGCAATTGTGTTGGAGCAGAAGCTGAACTCTGCAGGAAGGTGGCCCTTCAGGAGCAGGATTGACATGTGATTCAGTTAGCTAGCTAAACATGTTAACAGTTTAACTTTTACTAACATGCTCAGCCCATCTGTTACTTTGCATTGATGGCAGTTGTCCTGGCAGTGGAAACTGGCTGAAGAAAACACTATACATTAATGGCTTCTGTAGTGGCCCTTGCACTGAGATTGTAAAACTTGCTTGCATTGCATTGCATTATAAATTGTGTTCTGATGTATTTCAACCGACGTAAATGCAACAATACATGTAGTTGCTTAGTGTGTTTTGATGCTTAAGATAGTTATTTTTTGCCTTTAAGATGGCTAAAGACTTCTATTTGGTTAGCTGGTTCAAATAAAATCCAGTTGCAGTTTTTAAATAATATATCGGATACTGTGCTTAATTGTGATATACAGCCTGGTGACAGAGTGCATGTTTCTTGTGAACTGGTTATTATAACTGTTTTGGGTTGTTCTGAGAATAAAAACATGGTGCAACCCAAGTGCAATACTGTCCTCCAAGACCTTTTCAGACATTGAGTCACTGTGGTCCACAGTTTAAACTTTCACCTGACCGCAGGCAAGTTTTAATTTATTAGTTTTCCAACAGAAATCTAGCCAAATCATTTCACTTTTATTCATTATTTTCCATTTGTCATCAACCTCGTCTGTTACTCTTACTGTGTGAAAATAATCATTGCAATGTTTGAGTTGGCAGTACCTTAGAGCGATGTGGAACTGAATAAAGCGCAGGAGAACTTCTGGATGCACTGTGACTGGTTTTTGAGGGTCAAAGAGAGGCAAACATCAGACGCCTGGGTTAAAGTCTTGACTGGGGCAAAGCTGTCTGACTTCACACGGAGACTGCAGATGGGTCCTTGCTGTGCGGCGTTCGGCAGCATGACAGGGAGTCATATTGAGGGCTAGACCTTGAATATGTCGAGGAAACATTGGGTCAGACATGAAACAGATAGCGTGGCCATTGATCGCCATGGTGGGTAGAGTGGCTGTAGGAGAGGAGGTTTAGGGTGGAGTAGTATAAGAATGGATATAGTGGGCCCTTTTGGACTTGGTAGGTGGTGTTAAATAAACTTGGCCACATCTGCAGCGAGGCATTGGGTTTCTCACACGCCGGGCAGTTTGACAAGCACTCCTTTGTAGACTCTCTCCCCTCACCTCATGCTCTCTCCGCACCACTGTCCTTTTCTTCCTCTCTTTCTCCTGCACTGCCCCTCTCTCCTCCTCACCTCTCTTTTCATCCTCAGTATCCTCGCGTTCGGCAGCATGACAGGGAGTCATATTGAGGGCTAGACCTTGAATATGTCGAGGAAACATTGGGTCAGACATGAAACAGATAGCGTGGCCATTGATCGC